TGGGGCGAGACGAGGGTACGATGTTTCCATCGAAACGAGTTATATAAAGTTGTGGTGGGTGTTGCGTAAAAAGTTTCGACACTCCGCGGTGTTGTCGTAAACTAAGTGGGAAACAATCACGGAGTGTTCAGGTCACGCCAAAGCCAGAAGCGGGAGGGGCTAGCAGCCGTGGGCGGGGAGACGGGCCCGTTCCCTGCTGAAGGATCCCCGCGGTCCATCACCTTCCACAGGCAAACGATCTGCTTTGCTGGTCATGAGTGAAAAACCTCCCGTGTGAGTGTCAGTTCAGCACAGGGAGGCGCCTTCTGCACAGTACAAGACACAGATGCAAAGGAAAAGGTGCATTTGTGTTTGAGACGGGCGAAAGGAAAGATACACACTCAACGGACCACAAAAAACTTGGTTATAAAGAATCACAGCTGCTCAAAGAACACAGATGGGACTTGGATCATTTAGGTACATTTAAGGAGCACCGTGTAAGGCAGAGGTACAGCCAGCTGTAAGCTGATACAAAGATGTAACAAAAGGTTTTGACCAACAGGAAAAACCAAGGACAGATGTGATGTTAAAGCCCTGGATCCTCCAAGTGCTTTCAGTCAAGCACTACTGCAATAAACAGAGGGAAGACTACTTGGGTGAAAGATACTAGCTAGTCATACCTAAAGGTCAGTGGGCTTCAGCTTCGCATGTGCTACTTCTTCACCCATTTATCCCCATAAAAAGCATCCCATAAAATACAGTTTATAAGCTACAGCTAGAAGTATCTGTCAGGTAGCTCAAATTTGTAGAGTATTACCAGAGATGTACTTTGAGAAAGACACAGGTGTTTGATTTTTCCTCCCCTCTGTTCACACAGTTCTGTGAGTGGTTTCTCAAGGAAGCAATCTGTGCACATTAACTCAGTTTCTCCCTTCTCCCTTGTACCAAAGCTCTTGAGCCTGCTAACTAGAATGTCAGAATACTTCTAAGGCTTTACATTTAATGAAATCCTGAGTCCCTTGAAGCAAACTCAAACTTTGGCCACTGTTTTAGGTCTTAGCAAACATAAATGGGACCTCAAGCTCCGCACTGGTGCTTGTTTAACTAGAATTCAAGTTCTCTCCTATGCTTGAAGCAGAAGCAGCAACCCAATTTTAAATGGATTGAATGAAACCACTTTCATTTAACTCCAGGCTTTGTCTTGCTGGTTTGAGAATTAATCATAGTTCTTTTAAGGATTAGTTTGTAGAAGAAAAAGAAAAAAGCCCACCACCAAATTTGAGAGGCCTAAGTAGCAACAATGAACATGGCTGTTTTGTTGCTTTATATATGAAGCTTACTTTTCACATTAATAATCCTTCCTATGGAAATATAATCCTGAGAGGACAGCTTAGAGTTCCACAACTCTGTTTTGTGACCCTACATGCAAGTCTAAAGAACAAACTTGCTAAATTCAATGTATACACCACAAATGATGATGTTTTATAACTAGGATCCTTTGACTGTGACATACACGGAAGAAAAAAAGCAAAGTAAGCTAAGTGTTAGTTCAATCTTGCACAGCAAAAAACAAGAATTTAAAACTTGGTAATTTACCTAAACAAAAATTTTAATGCTACTGCTTGTCTGAGTATAAACTAGGTTTTCAGCCAAAACAAAACCCTTTATGACAAATATATTTTTAAAAATCTATGTGCTGCACAACCACACAGTCACCAACCTCCAATGAAACTGTGATGCCCAAGTTTCAGTTTTGTGATGTTTACAGCTAGCATATTCTCTCTTGACTATCATACAATCCTCTCACACCGTGTTTTGATTATGATCCATGTTGTCCTTCATGAAAATCCCCACAGAGCTACCTCTCAGCACACATATGGAAACAAACAGCGATGAAAATTTGTAAATCAACTTTATTCAACGATGACCATCATTTAGGCATCGGCAATAGTAACTTCAACTTCTACACCTGGTTCGATGCTGATGGAAGTGATCTGCTTCACGATCTCAGAAGGGCTGTGTAAGTCAATGAGCCTCTTATGGATACGCATTTGGAAGCGATCCCAGGTCTTGGAACCCTCACCACAAGGTGTCTTCCTGGTAGTGATCCGCAGGGTCTGAAAGATCATAAGTACAAAGTATTTAGCTGATGCCTAGAGAAGAGTTATCTACAATCATATGCTGTATGGTATCTATGTCATTAGAAAGTTACCTCTTAAGTTATAGTCTACTGATGTTAACACTCCTTTCCCTATATATTTGATTTCATTTTAAAAATTGTGACTAAAATTGAACAGAAAAGCCCCTTCCACATTCAACATGTTTTGGACTACCCTAAGTGAAATCATTATCTGTTTACACTGGGTCATCCTCAACTTAGTAGCACTGTTTTTCCCTTGCCTTTTTAAAGAAAGAAATAAATAGATGTTTTAAGCACACAGTTGCAAAAAAAAACCCTTTTAAGACAGGAAAAGTGTTCAGTACCTTGGTGGGCATGCGAACAGGTCCCTTCACCTTCAGGTTTTTTTCCTTGGCGCCTCTGATCAAGTCAGCACAGACTGAAAAAAAAACCAAACCCCATGCAACAGCTCAGGTTTGCGACTATTTGATTTGCTTATTTTCTTAAATGAGTATTTCAAACAAGATGTTGGCTCAGAATAGCGTATGAAGTGATCACTGCCATTCATTTTCAGCATTATCCTCATAGCCAACCACAGGCAAATAAAGCATTACACCATGGTACCCTGCGCTCTTCTGAGACCCCACCTGGAGTACTGAGTACAGTTCTGGTGTCCCCAACATTAGAAGGACATGGAACTGTTGGAGCAAGTCCAGAGGAGGCCATGAAGTTGATAAGGGGACTGGAGCACCTGTCCTATGGGCTGAGGAAGTTGAGGCTGTTCAGCCTGGAGAAGAGAAGGCTGCGTGGAGACCTCATAGCAACCTTCCAGTATCTGGAGAGGCCTACAGGGAAGCCGGAGAGCAACTCTTCATTAGGAACTGTAGTGACAGAGTAAGGAATAATGGCTATAAACTGAAAGAGGGGAAATTTAGACTAGGTATTAGGAAGATACATTTTACTGTGAGGGTGGTGAGACACTGGAACAGGTTGCCCAAGGAGGCTGTGGATGCCCCAACCCTGGCAGTGTTCAAAGAGAGGCTAAATAAAGCCTTGAGCAACCTGGTCTAGTGGAAAATGTTCCTGCCCAGAGCAGGGGGTCTGAGACTAGATGATCTTTAAGCTCCATTCCAACCCCTTAGCATTCTATAATGCTATGAAATCATGTTACAACAGTAGGCAAAAGCCATTACTACAAGTTTAAGCTGTACTAAAGCTGTTATCACCCCAAAGATCCTGCAAACAGCGATACTAATAAAACATTTCCATTCTATGATTAAACACTGGCAAAGCCAGTTCCTAAAAAAATTAAATAACTTCTTCAAGAATGTTATATTAAACTCTTCATAACAAGAGTGACAAAATAGCAAGAAACTCTATTATGTTAGTCATTATGACAAAGATGTCAGCATGATGAAAACCCTCAAAACACAAGATAGCATTAAAAACTAAATCAGAATTTACTTGCCTGCATATGAAGCACTTTGGCTTGACTTTGTGAGCCAGAGCCACATACAAACAGGCAAACATCTTTAATTACAGCCAGTTTCAACACTGTATTTTGCAATGCACTACATGACATGTATCATTCATTACTTGACAAGCTACGCAAGTAAAAGTGTCACTCACCCTTCTCCAGCGATTTCACATTGCGACTTGTCAAGGTAATTCTAATGCGATGAATTGCAACTTCTTGTTCCACAGGTGCTTTGCCAGTATCTTTAAACGCCTAAAACATCGAGGGTACAATCATCAGATGCTGCAGTCTGCACCAACTAACACTATCCACAGCCTCTTAGAAACAGACTTCTAGAGCGTAAAAAAACAATTCAGCTATGGGATTACATCATTCTACTAACCAGAAGAGCTAGTTGAAGGGTACAGCGGGATGAAAGAAGTGGTGGGAACAGAAAGGAAGGGCAAAACCCTAAGTGCTCTGAGGAAAGCCGTTTCTTTTAGTGTCTAACTGCATCTCACGGTGGGAAGCTGCAAGCAGATCCCTCCCTGGTTTGCCTATATATGGCTAGGACAAACACCTCTTGTCCTCAAAAATAAATATATTTCAGGTTTCGTGTATGTTATAAGTTAACATCACAACGACTTAAGTAACACAGCCTTGGTCAGTAGAACTGCAGGGACTCATACAGGCAGAACAAAAAGGGGCACCTGGCCTGAAAAACCGATTCGGCCACTCAGGAAACAGATTCGAGCAGCTTATACAATGAAACGCTTGCAAATAAATTGGGCTTTAAGATGCGCGAGGTGGGCTGATGAAAGAGAACGCAGGTAAAGCCGCGGAGGAAGAAAGGCCTTAAGGACACGTGGAGGAAAGCCGGGGCGGCAGCGCCGGGGAGAGGCACAAGCAGCACAAAAGGCACAAAGCGCGGGGCAGGACACGAGGCCGAGCGCCCCGCGGCTCAC